CTTTACCTGAATTATACAGGCCCTGAAGATTTTGTACACCTCCATGTTTCCCCCCCGCCGAAGCCTGTCCAAGCTCTTGCTATTTCCTAACAGGTTAAGGCTCTGGTGTCAAATGGTGCCTTGGTTCCCTGAGACTCTTCCTGCAATATCCCACTTCTCCCTGTAATAGACGAATTATGTGCAGGATACTGTCACCCTGCAGAAATGATAATCTATTACCCGGCCATATCTAGAATGTACCGCTAGTTTTATTACCAAACTTCACCTGTATAACATAGATATGTGCCTAGCTTGTACCAAAAAAAAATATCACACACTGCCAATACACACAAATATCACACACCACCAATACACACAAATATCACACACCGCCAATACATACAAATATCACACGCAGCCAATACACACAAATATCGCACACTGCCAATACACACAAATATCACACACTGCCAATACACACAAATATCACACACCGCCAATACACACAAATATCACACGCAGCCAATACATACAAATATTGCACACTGCCAATACACACAAATATCACACACTGCCAATACACACAAATATCACACACTGCCAATACATACAAATATCACACACCGCCAATACACACAAATATCACACGCAGCCAATACATACAAATATTGCACACTGCCAATACACACAAATATCACACACTGCCAATACATACAAATATCACACACATCCATCCAATCTATTACACACACAGACGCACACATTACATCATATTATTACGAGATTTATTACAGTGGAGCTCTGGAATACACAATGCACATTACTCTGTGTTTTATAGTTGGGGAGCTTGTGTTACACTAATAGGTACATTACTGGGAGTGGTATTGATGTTGAGCTCTGTGACATACACGTACACTGCACGTTATTGGGAGTTTTATCGTTGTGGAGTTCTGTGATAAACTGGCACACACCACATAAGCCTGTGAGTTTTGTTGGTTTGCTATGCAGCTCAATAATGGATAAACAACGCATTACTATGAGTTTTTATTCCAAAGAGCTCAAGGTAAATAAGGAAAATCCAGAGCTCCAAAACAACTCTGAGTATAACGTGATATACCCTTAGGTAGCTGTCTTCCTGGCTCAGGCCAGTTAGAACGTTGCCGCGGATTATCACAGGAAACCTCGAGAAACAGTTACGCATGGTCTGCATTCCCAGCTGATTCCCAGCTCACTTTTTAAATCATTATTCATTTAATAAATCCCCTATACAAACACTACACCCCAATAAACACACACTAAACATGGATGAATGGGGGTGACTGGGGGTGGGGGGTGCAGTGAAGTTTTTTCTCACACGGTGGTGAAATGTTTAAGGCTGGCCCTGGGACGATCATAGATAACACTACGTGAGCAACAAATTCATCCAGAATGTCTGTGTTTGTTCACATTAGACCCTGGGGGTATTTTATTATCAGAGTTACTCACTAAAGTGAAAATTCTAAATGGATTCCAAGTGAATTTCAGGCCAGAGTAGCCGAAAGCATGGCTGGCCCAGAGAATTTATGAAGTTATTTGTCCCTTAAATTCGAAACTCACCTTGCATTCTCACTTTAGCAACCAGCCTTTTGTATGTCCTCGTTGTCACAAATACTTTATTTTGGTCATTTATCTATAATGCATGGGGTCATGGTCATTGGCAGATCCGGGGGGGGGAATTGACCCCCCCGAGATTCTCCCCTGCCAGCTAGTGCAGGGCTGGCATTGTCCAAGTGCCAGTCCTGCAATGTGCCTGCGGACCAGGGAGGAAGAGCAGAGATCTCCCTCCCCGGTCCGCAGGCACTGTGCTGACAGCCGGCAGGGGAGGGAGAGGGAGGAGAGAGGACCCGGGAGCTCAGCCTGCAGCTCCTCCGGGTCCTCCTCTTGCGAGCACGGAGCGTTGCCGCGGTTACCACGGCAATACTCCAAATCTTGCAAGAGTGAACTCTAGCCCTGGAGCTGCGGGCTAGAGTTCACCTCACCACCACTGGGACCACCAGGGATTCCCCACAGACCACCAGGGAATCCCACCGGACTACCTGGGAACGAAATATGCCCCCCCCCCCCTCCCAGGTAAGAAGGGAGGGGGGACATAAATATATATATTTTATTAAATACATTTTTTTTTATTATTAAAAAGCCTCCCTACCCTCCTTCCCCCCCATACAAACACTGACCCCATACACACACTGCCCCACAAACACTGTCCCTATACACACACTGCCCCCACAAACAATGACCCGACAAACTCTGCCCCCCATACACACACTGCCCCACAAACACTGTCCCCATACACACACTGCCCCCATACACACACACACTGCCCCACAAACACTGTCCCCATACACACACTGCCCCACAAACACTGTCCCCATACACACACTGCCCCACAAACACTGTCCCTGACATACACTGCCCCCATACACACACACTACACACACTCAAGCTCCCCACAAACATTGTCCCCATACACACACTGCCACACAAACACTGTCCCCATACACACACACTGCCCCCATACACACACTTCCCCACAAACATTGTCCCCATATACACACTGCCCCCCCATACACAGTCTCCCATACACACACTGTCCCCATACACACACTGCCCCACAAACACTATCCCCATACACACACTGCCCCACAAACACTGTCCCAATACACACACTGCCCCCATACAAACACTGCCCCACAAACACTGTCCCTATACACACACTGCCCCCCATACACACACTACACACGCTGCCCCCACAAACACTGTCCCCATACACACACTGCCCAACAAACACTGTCCCTATACACACACTGCCCCTATACATGCACTGCCACACACTGCCCCACAAACACTGCCCCCCATATACACTGCCCCCATACACACACTGCCCCCATACACACATTGCCACACATACACGGCCCCCCATACACAGAGTGCCCCCCCATACACACACTGCCCCACACATGCATACAGTGCCCCGCCATACATACAGTGCTCCCCATACACACACTGCCCCACACAGACATACAGTGCCGCCATACACACACTGCCCCAAAAACACATACAGTGCCTCCATACACACACTGCCACCCTCACACACACACACACACTGCCCCACACATACACAGAGTGCCCCCCCATACACACACACACACTGCTCCCACACATACATACAGTGCTCCTGCCATACATAAGCAGTGCTCCCTATACACACACACACTGCTCCCATTACTAGACATATGTTGTGTGCCTATACACACACTGCTCCTAAAACACATACAGTGTGCCTCCATACACACACTCAAGTAAGCACACCCCTACACACACACACACACACACTGCCCCACACATACACAGAGTGCCCCCCCATACACACACTGCCCCACACATACATACAGTGCCCCGCCATACATACAGTGCTCCCCATACACACACTGCCCCACACAGACATACAGTGCCGCTATACACACACTGCCACCCTCACACACACACTGCCCCACACATACACTGCCCCCTAACACACACACTGCAACCCTGACATACACTGCTGCACTCACACACACACTTCACCACTCACACACTTTACCCCTAACACACACCACTGCTCCTATGCCCTATATCCCAGCAGACCCCAGGTAAGTTGTCAAACTGTTCTTAAACGGTATGACTACTTACTCTGAGGTGGGATCCTGGCACTACTGGCACCATAACTACTACACTGAGCTGTAGTGGTTATTGTGCCTGGATTATTTATTTAAATAATCTACAAGTGCCCCTCCCGAGATCAGGCTCTGGATCCCCCATTGGTCATGGTGCTATAATAGCTGTCACAAAGGAGGTAAGCAGTACGGCAGATCAGTGGGAATAAAAGGGGAGAATAATGATACTTTGTTACAAGTGAGTCGTACACATAAATAAATAACCAGAATTACACCAAATACCCAAATAACCCCTATATAGCGCATATAGACAGTAAGAGTGCTTAGAGTGGGAATCCTACACTCTTGCTTCCTCAGTGATGGGAGTAGGAGTCCTGCACGCTGTGAGTAATAACCCTACACTCGGTATGGATACTGATGGTTTAAATCTTAAGCTTACCCCTCACTCAAATTCTTCCGAAGGGCAATCCTAGTCTGGGCCCCCATGGCTAATCGTGGGATATGAAGGAAATTTCGAGGTAAGAAAATGTCTTTGATTCCATTATTTAATGCTGTTTTTCCAATATGAATCGTGGCCTATCCCTTTAAATGTACAAAGCCTCATTCCCAATTCCATCTGTAACAAATTGCTTAGCAGAGACATCTAGTTCTTCTTAATCAAATGAAGCCCCAATCAGCTGCCGTGTAATTAATATATTTCCCAAAAGCAAAGGTTAATCGCTGGCGTGTGAAATAGCTAAACTCCTAATTAGTTATCTCGTTCTGCCACCAGATTGTGTCTCGTTGTAGTTTACAAAGATTATTAATGGAAAGTTTAAGAAAATAAACTGTCTGTTTAGTCATTTTGCGACGTTAAGTTAGTGGAAGGTTAAAAATAGACGCTGTGACGCAGGACCGCTGACATGCCAGTTAAATCATGCGTAGAAGTTAAGATTTTGGCATTGTGTTTGGTCAAAATGACCACCGCACATCGGCCTCTGGTTAATAAACTATTTAGCAGGACACAAATTTAGCAGATCTATTTTTAATACCAGCGTTGTAGCATGTAGCCAACGAAAACCAGGCGTAGTCACAAAATCTGTTTGTTTTCTTTATATGAACGCCTTGAGGTAAAACACAGTCACAAAGTTGATGGAATTGAGACATCTAGAGGGCAAGGGGGCATGAGTAGGGTAATATATTTATCTGCTCCCAGGAGAAGAGTGTGTAAAAAAATTTAGTGTTAAACATTAAAATGGATAAAGCCTTTAAACAGTCAGTTGGATTTGCTACTCAATTTCAGCTCCCACACCTCATATAACCCACACTCACTGCAGCTCCCCACACCTCCTATAACCCACACTACCCAAGCAGCACACTCACTGCAGCTCCCCACACCTCCTATAACCCACACTACCCGAGCAGCATGCTCACTGCAGCTCCCCACACCTCCTATAACCCACACTACCTGAGCAGCACGCTCACTGCAGCTCCCCACACCTCCTATAACACACACTACCTGAGCAGCCCACTCACTGCAGCTCCCCACACCTCCTATAAAACACACTACCTGAGCCTCACACTCAGTGCAGCTCCCACACCTCCTATAACCCACACTACCTGAGCAGCACGCTCACTGCAGCTCCCCACACCTCCTATAACACACACTATCTGAGCAGCACGCTCACTGCAGCTCCCCACACCTCCTATAACCCACACTACCTGAGCAGCACACTAACTGCAGCCCCCCATACCTCCTATAACCCACACTACCTGAGCAGAACGCTCACTGCAGCTCCCCACACCTCCTATAACTCACACTACCTGAGCAGCACACTCACTGCAGCTCCCCACACCTCCTATAACTCACAATAGCTGAGCAGCACGCTCACTGCAGCTAACCACACCTCCTATAACTCACACTACCTGAGCAGCACACTCACTGCAGCTCCCCACACCTCCAATAAACCCACACTACCTGAGCAGCACACTCACTGCAGCTCCCCACACCTCCTATAACCCACACTACCTGAGCAGCACTCTCACTGCAGCTCCCCACACCTCCTATAAGACACACTACCTGAGCAGC